CTCATCTTATGGTATTCCACATTCGCTGTAATTGGCCTCTGAGAATATATCAGAACATTCAAAACTGGCTGAGATTATAGTACCATTTAGTGGTCGGGAAGGGACAGAGAAGTCAGCTATAAACTCGCCACATGCCCTTGACATTAGACAGTCGGTCGTCAACGCACGCAATGAGGTACAACCCGCCAGCTAAAAGAGGACAATCGCATTCGCGAAAATTATAGGCCTGACAAAAATACGTCATCAAATTACAATCTTCGACAGTAAGCAAGCAAAAGCCACGAATTTCTCTTTTGCTTATGGGTCTACAAAGCCAAAAGACGGCACCGACCCCAAGCTTACCGGCTTATAGGGAATAAAAATGTCATTAGAAAAAAAGCCGTTTATCTGTGAATAAGTACAAAAATAATGTACTAAAGTTCATCATAAGGAATACAAGTTAAAAATCTGTCGCAGACTCATTTGTGTCACCTTCAACCATTTCTTCATAGTCTTTTTCGAGCATAGCCATATTTTCTCTCGCTTCGGAAAATTCGCCTTCTTCCATGCCTTCACCGACATACCAGTGGACAAAGGCACGCTTCGCAAACATCAAGTCAAACTTGTGGTCGAGCCGGGTCCAGGCTTCGGCGATAGCTGTTGTGTTGCTAAGCATACAGAGAGTACGTGGCACCTTGGCCAAGTCACCTCCGGGAACAACGATGGGGGGCTGGTTGTTAATACCAACTTTAAATCCTGTTGGGCACCAGTCCACAAACTGAATATACTGCTTCGTCTTTATGGCTGCAATAGCAGTATTTACATCCTTGGGCACGACATCGCCGCGATAAAGCATGCAGCAAGCCATATACTTTCCTTGCCTAGGATCACACTTGACCATTTGATTTCTCGGCTCGAAACACGAGAATGTGATCTCTGAAACGTTTAGTGTTTCGTGGTAGGCTTTCTCGGAGGAGATAATTGGCGAGTACGAAGTCAGAGGAAAATGAATGCGTGGATACGGCACCAAATTTGTCTGAAATTCGTTCAAATCCACATTTAGTGCTCCGTCAAAACGTAAAGAAGCCGTGATAGAGCTCACGACAGGAGCGATAAGTCGGTTCAGATTTGAGTAGCATGGTCGGTCAACGCCAAGTCCGCGTCTAAAGCAAATATTAGTAATAATTAGACAAACTTTGAGATGTCATAGATTGCTTCGTTGTCAACCAGGAACGTGCAGTCGGAATGATCCAAAGTACTGTGCGTCGTTAGGATTGAATTGTAGGGTTCAACAACCGCTGTCGAGACTTGCGGGGCAGGATAAACGGCGAAGTCCAACTTCACTTTCTTTCTAAAATCAATCGCAAGTCGCTGCATCAGAAGTGCTGAGAAGCCCGAGCCAGTACCACCTCCAAATGAGTGGAAGATGAGGAACCCCTGAAGACTCGAGCACTGTTCGGTAAGTTTCGTAATACGATCAATGACGTTATCGATGATGCCACGGCCCATTGTATAGTGACCTCGGGCATAATTATTTGCAGCATCCTCTTTGCCACTTATCATTTGCTCCGGATGGAACAGCTTTCCATATGAACCTGTTCGAATCTCATCTGTAATAGGAATATATAAAAAGATCTGGTTACATAAGTTACCTAAATGAAAAACTCATTTGGACTGGTGGCAGTGAGAATACTACGCACACTGCGGACAAACACGTCGTGAGGTACTTTAGTAAATAATTATGACCGATCGCCATCTTCCTTCTCTAAACCAAACTGAGTTCTTTCAAGGCTACCGATTAAAATATATGTCCAGCTTGGGGGCAGACAATGACGTCTGTCGTTCAAGGAAGTAACTGCAGTAGGGGTGTGATTAACGTTAGCTTCAGAATAACTACATTAGTTGTACGGTCCCACCTGACATACCAAAATGGATGGACAGCTAGGAAGAGCTTGCTGCCACAGAAAGCCTAGTAAATAAAAGTAGTCTACGTTTATGCGCTGATTCATACAATTTTATGATAACTTTTACAGTTGGAAGAAGTTAGTAAGAAAAAAACTTAACACACCTATGACTGTTGGCTCAAGGTCTATGAACACCGACCGCGGGACGAATTTGCCGTTACCGGTCTCGTGGAAAAAGGTCGATATAGAATCATTTTCAACCTCGGGTCCATTGAGCCGTCCCTCGTGATCGAGTCCATGTTCAAGACAGTATAGTTCCCAACACGCATTGCCAATCTGTAGACCGGCCTGGCCAATGTGGATACTCAAGCATTCACGCTATAAAGACTAATAAGATTAAGAAGAGGACAAACCATTTTCGGGACGAGCGAATTTAAAACTAATCAGACCGGCGGCCGTCTGCAATTTCTATGCGAATAAACAAACAATTAATTTCAGTGGATATAGTTGACACAAAACTTCGACGGTTTGTGGTGGAAAGTTATCGACTGTTGGTCCATTCTTCAGTGTTCCACTTGATTTTGCCGTTGTGATCTACTGCTGTCAGGAGCCATTAAGTACGATGTCCGGTATATTTATTTCGGTGCATTGGACAGAAATAGGCTTACACAATTTAATTCCCAGCTTATAACATAGAAACATGAACAATTGGCAACAGTGTAACGAACTTACAAAGTCACGTAAGTGCAGATAAAGTTTCACTTAATAACATATGCTTGTAGGATTATATTGTCATATAGTCCGCATACGCCTGCAGCACTCGTCTCCCGAAGCCATTTTGAATGGTTCATAGTCTGCAAAATCACAATGTGCTGTTCAGCATGGCTCTCTTCGTAGGCGTTCATGTCCTTTGAGTGGTCTTAACTCGCAGGAAAAATGGACAAAGGCTGTGGATGAGGGTAATACAATTGATGTCTATTTTCGACTTCAAGAAGGCCGTTGGCAGCCTGGGTCGTCTTACTGGTACTT